TATATATATATATAAAATAAAATGAAGTGCATGAAGTACATTGGCTTGTAACTCAAGAATGCCAGATCCTATCTACTCTAAACCTTGCAAAATAGCTGAATAGCACCCAAGGAAAAGTATAAGAGGGTTATTTTTTTCACTCGATCCTTTTTGGGGCTTCCAGTGACTGTTTAAAGGACATCTGGGTTCTGTGCCTGGTGTTGGGAGGAGGTTGGGGGTCAGACTTAAGCTGTTTATTACCCCCCTCTACTTCTATACGACTGCTAGTGAAACACTTAGCTGCATGCTCTGTTTTCCCTGTAATGGGATTCTCTCAAGCTCGCTGGAAGGGAAGGGGTCAGGTATACTGATATTCTTCCCCAGGTGGCCCTCCCTGCTCCTTGCCGCCATGTGCAGCATCTGGGACTCTGCTGGAAGTGGCGGGAAGTGCCCTGCAATTGAGCTAAGGCAGCTCTGCCCGCTCCCTGCTTCCTGGTGCCCTGGCAGGGAGCATACCAGGCTGTTCAGCCAGGGCGGACACAGGGAGAAGCAGAGACGATGACCAGACCGAGCACCTCCGGCCTGACTGAGCTGCTTTTGACCCGGACCCAGAGTGAAGTCGCAGCCCAGTGCCCTCACAGCATGGAGGAAGCTGCTATCAGGACCCCACAGCCGAACAGTTGCCCGTGCTGCTGGCTCTCATAGTTTCATAGTAGGTAGGGTTGGAAGGGACCTGAGCAGATCATCAAGTCCTTCTCTTGGAAGTTGGCTCCAGGTCCTAGCCACCCTGACTGTGAAGTATCACCTCCTGATATCTAGTCTAAATCTACCCTCTGCCAGCTTGTGACTGTGATTTCTAGTCACTCCTGGGAATGCTCGGGGGAACAGGGCCTCCCCCAATGCCTGCTGGTCCCCTCTGACTAATTTGTAAATGGCCACCGGGTCCCCCCTCAGCCTTCTCTTGTGGAGGCTGAACAGGTTCAGGTCCCTTAGCCTCTCCTCGTAGGGTCTGCCCTGCTGCCCCCGATCATGCGAGTGGCCCTCCTCTGAACCCTCTCCATGCTGTCCACATCCCTCCTGAAGTGCGGCGCCCAGAACTGGACGCAGTACTCCAACTGCGGCCTGACCAGTGTTGCACAGAGGGGGAGGATCACCTCCTTGGTCCTGCTCAAGATGCATCTGTGGATGCACAACAAGGTGTGGTTGGCCTTCCTGACTGTGTCCCCACACTGTCGGCCCATGTTCATTTTGGCATCAATGATGACTCCAAGATCCTTTTCTGTCTCTGCACTGACAAGAAGGGAGTTCCCCAGCCTGTAGGTATGCTGCCGGTTCTTACTGCCCAAGTGCAGTACTCTGCACTTGTCAGTATTGAATCCCATCCTATTCTCATTTGCCCACCCCTGTAACCTGTCCAGGTCCAGCTGTATCCTGTCCCACATCCCTCCAGGTTGAAAATGACATGTCCACCACCACTCTCTGGGTGCGGCCGTCCAGCCAGTTAGTGACCCATTTGACTGGGTAGGTGTTGACACCACAGTCTCCTAGTTTTTTAATGAGAATGGGGTGAGAGACAGTGTCGAAGGCCTTCCTGAAGTCCAGAAAGACTATGTCCACCGGGACACCTGCGTCCAAGGATATTGTGACCTGGTCGTAGAAGGCCACCAGGTTGGTCTGACAGGACCTGCCTCGAATGAACCCGTGTTGGTTGCCCCTGAGCATAACCTCCCCTGCCGGCCCCTCGTGGACATGCACCCGGATAATTCTCTCAAAAAGCTTCCCCAGGACCGAGGTAAGACTCATGGGCCTATAGTTTCCTGGGTCCTCCTTCCTCCCTTTTTTGAAAATGGGAACCACATTGGCCCTTTTCCAGTCATCAGGCACCTCGCTGGAGCACCACGAGTGCTCCTAAAGCCGTGCCAGGGGTCCCATAATGACCTCTGCTAATTCCCTCAGCACCCGGGGGTAGAGGTCGTCAGGACCTGCTGATTTAAATGCGTCCAGTCCCTCCAGAAGTTCCCTGACTAGGTCCTCTCTGACCTGGGCCTGGGTGCACCTCCCCGGGGGCCTATGGGGGTGCCAGTGAGGAGGATGACCTGGTCCCTGCTCAGAAAACTGGAGGCAAAGAAATTGTTAAATAGATTAGCTTTGTTGTCTGGTGCGACGACCAGATTTCCTAGGGTGTCTTGCAGAGGCCCCACGTTACCCGGTACCTTCTTTTTACCCCCTATGTATTTAAAAAAGGACTTCCTGTTGTCCTTGATCCGGGTGGCTAGTCCCACTTCCATCTCCGCCTTGGCCTTCCTGACCGCCCCCCTGCAGCCCCGAGCAGCAGAGGTATAGTCCTCCCTGGTGATGGCCCCTCCCTTCCATTGGGTGTACGCCTGCTTTTTAGCTAGGAGACATTCCCAGATGCTTTTGGTGAGCCATGCCCGCTAAATGGTATCCAGGACAATTGTCTGGTGGCCCTTCCCTAGTTACACCTTGGGCTTGGGAATTGCTGAACTGTGGATTGCTGATGTTCCCGTATGCTTTTGGTGAGCCATGGGGGCTTTTGCGCCCCCTTGCCCCCTTTGATCCGCATTGGGATTACCTCCCTTTGGGCTTGGAGGATCATCTCCTTAAGGAATGACCACTCTTCTTGGACACCCGACTTCCCTCCCCTCCGGGACCTCAGTGTCTCCCCCACTATTCTCAGCCCCCAGCTCGCCAAAGAGTTGTCCAGATCATGTTGCTCATTAAAAAAAACAGTCTTCTTTATTGCTGCTGCCCCCACCCCAGCCACTGAGAGGCTTGTTAGCTAGAGGGTGGGATGTTGGGTGGGGAGCAGACCAGCATCACATCAGGAGCAAGGTAGTGCCCTGCATGGCCCTGACCCCACAGCCTGTGCTGGTGCAATTGGGGCTGGAGCAGGGAGGGTGCACGTGAGCAGGGAGGGTTGGTGCCAGCCAGGGCACCCGTGCTTGGGGCTGCTTTTATGTGTTGGGCTGAGTGCTCCCCACTGTGGGGCGAGTGGAGTGGGGAGATCGCAGCCCCCATCCGTGAGCAAGGGCCCAGCCTGTGCCCCTTCCTGGCAATCAGGCCCCAGGGCTCGGTGCCCAAGCACCAAGAGGGCTCAGCTCTGGCCTGCGGCCCAGGGAAACAACCTCCCAGGCCTTGCCCAGCAGGCACCCAGGGCTCTGGCGGAGCCAGGACACAGGATGGTGCTTGTCCACGGAGAGGGCAACCAACTTCTGCCTCGTCTTCTAACCGGGGTGCCAGGGCCTAGTATGGGCCTGGCAGGGCAGACAGGATGCCTGGGTCTGGTGCCCGGTGCTGGGAAGAGGTTGGGGGTCAGACATAAGCTGTTTATTGCCCCGCTCTACCTCTAGATGACTGGCCAGTGAAACACTTAGTGGCATGCTCTGTTTTTCCTGTAGTGGGGTTTGCTCAAGCTCGCTGGAAGGGGTCATGTATACTGATATTCTTCCCCAGGTGGCCTTCCCTGCTCAATGCTGCCGTGTGCAGCTCTGCCAGAAGCAGCGGGGAGCTCCACACAATACAACCAGGGCAGCTTGGCCCGCTCCCTGCTTCCTGGTGCTATGGCAGGGAGCATTTCAGGCTGTTCAGCCTGGACCGAACACAAGGAGCAGCAGAGTGGATGACCAGGCCGAGCCTGTGTGGCCTGGCTGAGCTGCCTTTCACACTGCCCTAAAGCCAGATGTAGCCCAGTGCCCTGGCAGCACGGAGCAAGCCGCTATCAGGGGCCCCAGCCAGACAGCTGCCTGTGCTGCCAGCTCTCTCACTGCTCACTAAAGAGCTGTCCAGACCAGGTTGCTCGTTAAAACAAATGATGCCCTTTGCTGCTGCTGCCCCCATCCCAGCCACTGACAGGCTTGTTAGCTAGAGGGTGGGATGTGGCGCGGGAAGCAGACCTGCACCACAGCAGGAGCAGAGCAGTGCCCTGACCCTGCAGCCTGTGCTGGTGCAGCTGGGGCTGCAGGTGGAGCAGGGAGGGCGTGTGAAAGCAGAGAGGGGTGGCGCCAGCTGGGGCACCCATGCTAGGGATTGCTTTTATGTGCTGGTCTGGGCGCTCCCCACTGCGAGTGAGTGGGGCGGGGAGATCGCGTCCCCCGGCCGTGAGCAAGGGCCCAGCCTGTGCCCCTCCCTGGCAATCAGGCCCCAGGGCTCGGTGCCCGGGCACCAAGAGGGCTCAGCTTTGCACTGGAGCGCAGCTCTGGCCTGTGGCCCAGGGAAACAATCCCCAGGCCTTGCCCAGCAGGCACCCAGGGCTCTGGCGCAGCCAGGACACAGAACT